CAGACATTCACATCTGGAGTAATAATAGATTTGTTTGGGGTGTTTTGTGGAGTGGGTAAGACTGTTTATAGTTTCAGGCTAACTATGGCCATTGACATGCACTAGCCTAGCACCGGCGACCTCTGCAAATACAAGGACTGGATAGAATATTTCAAAAAGTGTCTCCACACGTCTCCAACACTCTGGCTCACAGTTCCAAAATTCCAAACTGTCCCTTTAAACGACAAGATCGATATTCCAGTATTTTTGCTGGCCCCCAATGACAAACCTGATGCAATATGCAGTGGTTGTTTCATTACCAGGATGCCCACTGACTGTGTTGTGATAGCGCTCTGAAGGGGGAGTGACTTAGCATGGAGAGCAAAGTAAGTAAAATACCTGCTCTTTAATATAATACAATACTCTCTTGCTTCATACTTTGTGGACTCTAAAAACAGCGAAATGATTGTCTGAAATATGATGGTTCCCAGAGAAAGTGGTATTATCGGAAGTGGAGGGCCAGTCGGTACACGCACGCTGTCAGAGAGGCATGCAGTGTGTGACATGAGCGCTATCGCACACACAGCACTTTCATCATACTGAGAATCATGAGGGAGTCTGCACAAAGACAATACAACAATGGGCTCAAGTATGGGACGATTACCAGAGGTGGGAGACGAGCCAGAGATTGTACTCTAGTTAAGGCCGCGCAATTAATCAGGTTTTGATCGCGATTTCGATTTGTGCGTCAAACTAGGGAAGATAATTTCTTTCATCAGATTTTGAATTTTAAATGCTGTTGAATTTCTCACTTTGAATGTATACTCTGAAAAAACATGTTTGAATTATTTTTATTATGAATTTTAGTTTCTGAAACTTTATGTGTACATTTTCTAAGTGTTTAAAATTCAATATATAAAAAAAATCACCTTTTAAATATTCAGCACAAATATTTTCAAGCCTTCAAATTCAACTGTCAAAATTCAGAGTGTAAAATTCGCAGTGAAAAAAATTCACAGTAAAGATCCAAGATGCCAAGGCAGAAGCAATCGATCCAAAGTGATCCAACCTAACTTAGTAACAAACAGGAAATGGTGCAGTGAAGCGATCTGATTGGTCAGAGTTAGCCTCATCAAAATCTCATCTCTTTTATTTAAGTGTAAACCCCGCCCACAGATGAATACAACCAATAGGAAAGTGAGAAATTCAGTGGTATTTAAAATTCAAAACCTGATGGAACAAATTATCTTCCATATCAAACGATCTCCAAACTCATATAATCGAGTTGAAACTATTTAAAGCTATATAAATAAGTATATTTATTTATTTTTTAAATGAAGAAATTGTAAAACAGCTGGATATATAATTTATTTTGGACACATTTATGTTTTTCATTTCATGTTCAAAGTATATATTTTTTATTTTATGTTTTATACATCGCAAAAACTGCTCTAAGGTACATAGTTGTAGCCTATATTTATTTTCAATTTGAAAGTTTAGTTTTTTTTGAGAGAGAAATTCTGAATAAATGCACCGTGTCTAAAAAATTATCATCTGAATAATCGTAAATTCAATATTGACCAAAATAATTTTAATTTTTTCCATAATTGAGCAGCTCTGCCTCCAGTAAAAGTCAAAATAATATTGCTCAAGTAGAAGTACAAAATAGGGAAAACTACTACTTGTCTCCATGGTGATGTTACTGCTTTGTCTGGAATGTTCTGCAGTATTGCATTAAACAAATAAAACTTGTATTTATTCAGTTGCAGGTGTTTTTATTACGCAAAACTACTGCAAAGACATGCATTCCTTCTGTCAGCGGGGCCACTTCTCCACAGATCTGACCTGTAACTTGGCGTGGTGACGTGAGCTGCTTGTTTCCATGGAGATAGTTGAAATGAAAAGCCATAGTGTAGAACATTTTAGGAAGAAACATGGGCTCTGTGGATACTGTGGTTCAAAGAAAAAAAATCTGACAAAGTTTTTTTTTTGCCGAAAAGTTATTTCAAAATTTAAAAAAAAAGCTTTGGGACATCTGAGCGTGCTGTGCATTTTTTCACTTTTTATTTTGCTGGTCCTTGCTTTGGTGTGCGTTTTCTGTTTCATTTCAGGAAAAAAACTTGGAGTCAAGCAAACGGTGCACCATCTACCAAAAAAGATACACAATGCCGCTTTAAAGAGTAACTGTCCGTAACATATCTGATTTATAGTTTCAAGTTAATGAATTTGAAGGACAGAACAATAAATAATGCACAAAAACTGGTATTTTCAAAGATAGAAACAAAAATGAGACAAACTAAATCATATCTGAAGAAGTGGAGCAAAAAAAAAAAAGTTCAACAAGTAGGAGTACTGTTATTTCAACCAAAATATTACAAAATAAGAAGTATGCTGCTAGAAGTACTCTGGAAAGTATCATTTCTTATGCCTGATTCCAAATAGAAAGCTAAATCCAAACATCAGGCCGAGGAAGAGTCAGATTTGTGGAGAGGCAAGCCCGTTCAGAGTACGGACACATGTTGCTCAGCGCAGTGTAATTATTTGTTTTTGTTCACTTCAAATTAGTTCAGTTACTCTTACAATTATTTTTCCAAATACCTTTTTACTACCCGCTTATTAACTATTGTGCTCTGGACTTAAAGCATTTTCATATTGTCATTGTGGTTGTGATTTCGAAATCATATTCAGTATCCAGTATCAAACTTTCTCCTTAGTTCTGACATGGATGTTTGAAATGTTAGTATCGAGACAACACTCCTCACAGAAAAAAAAAGAAAGAAAAAACTCTGTGGAAATCACTCCAACAGATTGCTTAAAGGTGCATTGTGTAACTTTTCTAGAGGAGGGTTCATTAAATACTTTTCTCCATGTACATGTAGTGTTTTGTCTGGAATGTTTCACAGTATGACATTTTTTCTCACCTTTCTATCTTCATGGAGACCAAACCAGACCAAGTTACAGGTCAGGTCTATGGAGAGGCGACCACACAGTCAGAATGTCTGTTTTTGTAAGTATTTTTGAGCTGTAAAACCCCCTGTAATGAATAAATGTAAAGTAGAGCTGTTTAATACAAAGTTGAAAAAGTTGAAGGGCTCAAAAATTACAAAATAATCCAAAGCCTTTAACAGCCCAATGAAGATAAAGTTAAAATCACACCAGCGTGTTTCGGCTCTTCGGATTCATCAGGGCAAACTCGAGATGGATATCACAGAGCAGATTTGAAGTCATAAGTGTAGGTCACATGTTCAGAGCCTTGGTGCATGATGGGACATGTCGGCTGAACGGATCTTAGCTACGAGCTATTTAAACTACAACTACTACTCTTTGTCTTCATGAAACTGTTAAAAAGATCAGCCCTCCAATATATTACACAAATTATATATGTTGTATGTTTAGCACTTTTGTATTGTTGTTTTTTCACTATATATTTTTATAATATGTATTTTTCTGTGTATAGACGAGTTTCAGCTGACATCATTGTTATTAAAAGCCCACGTTGCATGCTGGGAAATATTTTGTTCGGAGGCAAGAAACAGGATAGCGTCAAACACAGTGCGTAACCTCGTGTATTTATCCCCAATAATGGTAAATTCCTGCTGCATTATCGGATGCACAAATAGAAGCACGGAAGAAGGAAAATGTCTTTTTCGTATTCTGAGTGAAAAGAACCGCTAACGGTGAATTAAACGGCCTTTTGTCGGGGTTGAAAAGGGTGATTTGTCGTCCGTCGATGTTTATGACCAATTTCTGGTCAAATGGTCTTGGGTCGTCTGCCGTTAGAGTGAATAAATAACCGGGATCAATACTCTTTACGTGCTTTCTCACTCCGTCCGTCATGCTGAATTAGTGTTTCTTGCCGCCGACCAAAATAATTCCCAGCATGCAACGCATGCTTTTGTCAACAATGAAACTCACCTGTTGGTTGTTGGGAATTCAACTATGTACCGTATTTTTCGGATTGTAAATTGCACATTTTTCATGGTTTGGGTGTTTCCTGTGACTTATATATTAAAATTATTCACACTGAAGCGGTGAGAGGTTCTAGTCTTGTGTGTTATTATCTGCTGCTCCTGTTCCTCCTGTACCACTGTCACTTCACTCTACTGCACATGTCTCCTGCAGAAAGAGCCTCTGTCCTGTCTGTATCATGTCAGTCGATCACACCATTACTTCTGTACCACTGAACAATTTAACATTTAAACAAACATAAAGACAACTGAAACCATCCTGTCGGGATTCAGAAAGTCCGGAATAATTCTAACTGGAACTGATGCTGAGTCTGACGACAGCGACACAGAAGAGGAAGCGGCGCTCTGTTTACCTCCAAAGGTCAAGGCCGAGTTGTTCAGAAGTGACACCGAGGATGAAGAATTGAATGGATTTAGTGATTTGGAGTGAGATGGAGAGTTTGGTAAACTTGTTCTGTTCTGTTCTTTATGTTATAGTTATATGTGACGTTATATGTTCATATGTGACGTTAACAGTCTGTTGTTCTTTATTCTATTGCTATTACTACAACTTGATTTTACACAGGAAATGTCAGTTCCTGGTTCCTAAATTTCCCCCAAAAAGTGCAACTTATAGTTCATTGTGACTTACATGTGTTTTTTTCTTCTTCATTCGTCAGACATTGCAATTTATAGTCCAAAAAATACTGTATATCTTGTAGTTTAAACAGCTTGTAGCTCAAATCTGTTCTGCTTTCATGTCCCATCATGCACCAGGGGACTGTGTTTAACTTTATCTGCCATGTGGTATTAAAGGCTTGTAATTATTTTGTACTTTTTGAGTCCCTGTTGTATTTGAGACTAGTCCCTGTACTGAAGATCACCAAAAGGACAATTTTACACAATCTCTACACTTCCAAAGTAGCACTCATGTCCCCTGAAGTGTTGTAGAGCTGTTTAATGTCATATTGTGGAACATTTCAATCAGAGCAATGACATATCCACAGAAACAAGCAGGTGACGGACCCTCCACCAGAAAATTTACACCTTTAAAACAGACTGAGATGCACTGACCGTTGAAGAAGCTCTTGACCTTGAGGTAGCCCACGCTGAGTCGCAGCACCGAGAGTTTGTCCAGGCGAGAGCGCACCTCCTCACTGAAGGGCAGCAGGCTGGTCAGTTTGTCCAGTTCTCCGTTCAGCCGGTCCCTGTGGCGCTTGGATGGGTTGGATTTGGCGCCTTCTGGGGGAGGGGCTTTGGGGCTGGGGGCAGAGAAGGCACGAGGGGTTAGAAACTGTTGAAACTGATGCAGAAACTGATATTAAAGGTCCTAAGGAGTTAGAGTTTTGTTGTGTTTCATTTGAGTTATCCTGGTCTATTAGCTGGCTCCTTTTTATGTTTAGTTCAGTAGAGATTGGCAATAGATGCATCATAAATTTTGGACTTCCGGTCATACTGGGAAGGATTTTCTGAAAAAGTGCATCAAACCTCCATGTTTGTTTTCCCAGTGGGATGTGTCTATTGACAAAGTCGATCTTTTCAAGTCTCTTGAACCATATCACTTTTGTTTCTGGTTCTGATATTGTCATATTTTAGTTACAGGATTTGGACATCGTAATTGTGTGGTTGTTGGATCCTAACAGTGGAAAATTGCTCGAGAAATGGGCTTCGGAAGTTTGAGAACTCCATAAACGCAAAAGGGAATCAGATGTGTGTGAATCTATGTGAAACCTCTGTTCAAACTGTTTCTCTTCCCAACGGAATTGAAAAATAGTGAAAGGTGAAGGTGATGGGCAGGATTGATCCACAGGAACAACCAAAAAAGAAACCTTTGACTGCCTAAATCATCCTGAGTTTGCAGAGAACATTTTGTATGTGGAGCGACAACAAAGCAAAATCCCGTTTGTTAAGTGAGAGGAGCAGAAGACAAACAGACTGAGCTGCACTTTCTTGTTCTTGTGGTTTTACAGCAACACGTCTTGGTCTCTTTGCAGTGGAAGATGTTTCTTGGTGAACAGTTGGTGCCTTTCCCTTTGGCGTTGACTTTTTAAATTCGTAACCAAGGTTGAGTGAGGGATCCGGATTCTGCTTTGTTGGCGCTCCACATACAAAATGTTTGCTGCAAACTTGGGATGATTTAGGCACTCAAAGGTTTCCTTTTTGGTCCTTACTGTGGATCAATCCTGCCCATCACCTTCACCGTTCACTGTTTTTCAATTCCGTTGGGAAGGGAAACAATTTGAATGGAGGTTTGCAGTGACACACATCTGATTCCCTTTTGCATTTATGGAGTTCACAAACTTCCGCTGTTAGGATCCAACAACCACACCATTACGATGTCTGAATCCCAAAACTAAAATATGACAATATCAGAACCAGAAACAAAAGCGAAATGGTTCTAAAGACTTGAAAAGAAATCAGTCGGTGACCGGAAGTCTGAAATTCTTGATGCATCTATTCCAGGGCTGAAATTCTCCATGATTCTAGTGAAGGTGTATGTAGTTTAAAAACACAGTGGAGCACTTCCTGTATTACCGCATGACATCACAAGGTGGAACAGCGTGTGTGCAGTTTAAGAGAAGAAATCATCTTAAATATTCCGGGTTTGTGTGTAAAACATGTGAATGAAACAATTTACAATAATGTTTCCTCCTAAATTTCCTTCTCAATTGTGTTTTGTTTCATTCACACATGTTTGAAGAATAAGATTGCAACAATAAAAAAAAAACAAAAAAAAACATACTTTGATGATCGTAATCATTATCCAGACTCTCCAGATTGTAAAACACCTTTAATAACAAATAGAGCAGCGCAGGACTGGGCAAGTAATCTAATGAATTTGATTAATTTGTGTTTTTAATAATCCTGATTTTGAAAAATGACAAAGTTGTGAAATGGAGGACTATTATGAAAGACGTTTACTCTTGACTTCTCCTTCTCCAGACAACAATGAAAATGAATAAAGAGCTTTCCCTGTTTGAAAGACAGAGGCATTATTAAATCAAAATGTCAAAAAAAGAATAAACAACGTCTGATTTTCATCAATAACACACTTTAATCACAAATTTTCTCTATTTAGAAGTCTTCAATCAGCAGATTTCACTCTTTATTTGGGTGATAATGTTTATTTAAAGTCTCAATGTACAATAGAAATAATAATTTTGACTTTTCAAATGGAAAAATGAATCACTGACTACACAACTACTAAAATATTTGTTAGATTTAGTCAGACCTGCTCTTATTTATTTATTGATTCATATTAAACCCCACAGGAGGACTATTCTACATGTTTTAGTGGTAGAGGAAACCAGCGCACCCTGAGGAAACCTACGCAGACACAGGGTGAACACGCTCCACACGAAAAGGCCTCGCACCGTCCCACAATCCACTTTGCCATCGTGCTCTTCATAATGCTCTGTTCCACTTTGTGATGTCAGAACCAAACTTAAAGAGGCTCTGTGTGCGTATCAAGGAACATTCCATGATCTAACATTAGTTATCTCTTCCTGGAGAAAAGCGGTGAATACCAGGCTAAATTAAAGAGCAGATCTGTGAAAGTTGTGACAAGTGCTTTTAAACTCATCATGGTGAATAATTAAGATGCTCAGAAAACATAAAGTAAGTGATGAAGAACTTTGGAGATGTGCAAATATAACCTGACATTTATTCCGTCCTTTGACACACAAGTTCAGTTTCACCGGATGGAGCAAAACCACAAGTCACACTCCACCAACTCAGACCTGAACCACTACCTGTGCAGGCCACTCTATGAATATGTGTATGTGTATGTGTATGTGTATGTGTATGTGTATATGGGCACGTTAATGTGTTAATTTTGCGTTAACTAATGACTTCATTAACAGTAGCTTTTATTTTGAAGAAGTCCATGATGAGTGAGTCCAGAGTGTTGTTTACTGCTGCGACGCTCACAGGAAACAGAAAAGAAAAGCGAGAAAGAAAGCGGGATAAACAAACATGAAGAAGGTTCAGAACTTTTACATGACCATTTTCATTTTAAAGTTCTTCATACAGCACAATCAACACAAAGTCATTTATAACCACTGCGACGCTGAATTGTCTTATCACTGGAGTTTCATGCTTCAGCAGATCGAGATGCAACGTGTCAGAGCCGTGGCTCCACACACACATTACCACGACACCATGCCAGTGATCACATTCTTAATAATAATATTCTTGTATGTCTTTGCAACTGGCTTCATGCAGAGGAGTAAAAAAAAAGTACTAAGAAATGACAAACTGCACTAAAAGTGTTTCCTGGGTGTGTGTTCTGTTTTCTGGAGAGAGTTTTTACTGAGATCCTTATTTTTATATCAAACAGGAAACATTAAAGGCCTGTCAGTGGAAATACACTTCAGTTTTCTATTTCATTTCATTAGATTGTTTTAGTTGAGATTTACACTGAATACAGGAACTCATGTGACATATGCCATTAAGATTTTAACATTTTTGCCCAGCCCTAGTATATGTATATGTAAATGTAAATGTAAATGTATGTGTATATGTATATGTAAATGTATGTGTATATGTATTTGTATGTGTATGTATGTGTATGCATGTGTATGTGTATGTATGTGTATGTATATGTATGTGTATATGTATGTGTATGTATGTATGTGTATGTATGTGTATGTATATGTATGTGTATATGTATGTATATGTATGTGTATGTATGTGTATGTGTATATGTATGTGTATATGTATGTATATGTATATGTATGTTTATGTGTACATATACATAGGCTCTGACGCTCTTTGTGTTAAACTCAGAGAGTGTGAACTGTTTGGAGTCCTGTGGAAACAATCGGAGGAGCATTTCTCCTGGGATGGTCGCCAGGGAAACAGGCCCAAAGTGAACGCAGTACCAGGAACACAGCAGCAAACATCACAGGGTCAGAGGGGGCCATTAGGGTCAAAAGGGGGTCACGGGGTCAGAGGGGTCACAGGGGTCACAGGGTCAGACGGGTCAAGTCCAGGGGCACTTTCTACTACTGTACAGAAGTCAGATAGAGCCCATCGTGACAGAATACAGGCCATCTGTAAAGCATCTTTGATTGTCCAAAAACACTATATAAACATAATGTATTATTCTTATCTAAAAACATTAACAGAGCCTGTTGTATGATGACTGTCCAGGGACTTTTGGTCAGTCACATGATGAGAATGAGCCTGGTGTCGCTGTGTGAGGGTTGAGCTCGACACAGGGACAGGTCTGGACTCACACGTGGCGCGGTAATAACATTAGAACAGGCTCAACATGCACAAAGCTGCACTGTGTCACTTTTTTGGAGGAGCAGTGCCCACTTGTATCCACCGAGCTGCTGTTAGTCGCCTAGAATATTAAACCTACATCATAAGACAAGCAGGAGATGGCACCGGGCCACATTACAGGTCAGATCTGAGGACAGGCGAGCCCACTGACAGTAATGCAGAGTGTTTTTCCATTGGTTTGCTTTGGAGCTGATGGGTACAGGTGAAAGTGTCTCCAGTGTCTTAAATGAACCGCACCCAGCCCCGAACTCAATGGCACGTCTCGAGTTTAGCCTTAAGCGGCTAAATACCTCTGACCATGTGCAGTCGTGCTCTGGGCTAATGGACCGAGAGCCCGACCAATCACAGGAAGCCAAAGCTGAGAGTAAAAAGCTGGAAAAAAACGGAACTGAGAGTCTATTTACACTAGAACGCTTGTGGGTAAAAACGACAAAATATTTTATCGGAAGTGCCTTTCGTTTAGACGGTGACGGCGTTTTTGGGCCTTAAAAACACATATATGGCACGACAGCATTATTTTATAGTTGGGTGAAAATATACTATGTCTATATGTATCCAGATATTCTTCTTACTTTTCTATTATTATTCTATGACTGTTGTATGATGATTACTATTTCATTATTACTAGTTTTATTATTATTACACAATATGATTGTCTTTGTTTTTTGAATTATGGGGTTTTGCGTGCACTGTTTCTTTATGACAGTAAAGAAACAGTGCAACAGTAAAAAAGGCATACATTGACATTTGTTTAGGTAAAATTATTACTGATGCAACGATATTCAAATTTCTCGATATGTTATTTTCATGATATACATCCCACGGTATGATATTTATTGTGATATTTTATAACTTTTTCTTTTTAAAATGCCTTGATGAAACTTCTGTTCTGTCATAAATCACAAAATTTCGATTTAACGTGCTTAAAAATTATGATTCTTTTATTATTTGTATTACTTTTCCTGTAGTCTGC